AAGGCGGGTTTTTGTTGAACAGCTGTCAGTGTGCTTTTTCTTAGACTTCTCCAGCCTGATGTTGTCTTTTTCGAGGCTGCAGAGCACCGAGCGATCTCCAGGGCTGTACCCTAGTTTTTCCGCAATTCCCGCATTGCTCCTCGTGACACCTTGGTTGAAGCGGCTGACAGCTTCAGCCACTGCCCTTTCAACGCTGCGCAATGAGGCGTGCTGCGTTTTCGAAACCTGTTGCCAAATCACAGAGTGCAAGCGTTCACTGGGGTTCTGCGTGAGGCCGTCACTGCACCTTTCCAGAAGGGCTGTTTCACTAAGGCGCGTGAACATGGGCTCCAGTGCCTCGCACACAAAGTCGGGCAAGCTATGGTCGTGCGGCGGCAGCTCCTCATTGTTGGCCTCAGCCCTGTTGAATTTGCACCATGACTCGGGGCCTTCAGGACAAAGCTCATGCCTGGGTGTCTGGTCAGTGGATGACATGTGCTTCAGCGTGGCCAGCACAGCCTTCTGCATCCCTGGCACATCATGCTTGTGACTGCGCAAGGCATAACCATAGTAGGAGGCGATCTTCTTGATTTTATCCTGAGTCAGCCTGCCCTTACCACCAAGTGGCTGACCTTGAGCTTTTTTTTTTTGTCGCTGAGGGTACGCAAGGCTGCAAACATTCGTTTATGCACATGGTTTATGCAGTCTTTTTTGCCACCTTGATGTAGCCGTAGACTTTATTTGTTGTGAGGGCGTGGTAGGTTTTGCTGTCCCCATCTGAAAGCATTGTGGTATATCGAAGCTTATGCGTTTCGAGTGACCGCTGGAATAATAGAAGGGCTGCTTCCACTTCCATTTGACCAGCCTTGCAATCAATATTTCTTTGGCACACAGGTGCATGATCAACAAGCCAGGCAGCGCAACCTTCGTCATTTTCTTTAGGTCCCAAGGTGCACCCCAAACAAAAGTTTGACAAGACAACATGATCTATTACTAAACCTGTATACATCTTGATGATGCACCCGACACATATGTGTGAAGTGTGCCCACGGGTCAACCAGGTGCCATCATAAATCACGTCGATGTTCCCGGGTGCGTTGCCCAACTCCGCATACAAGTCCTTGATGCAAGCAACACTAGCACCTTCACACTCGGTGGCAGTGGCACTGCAGGCTTTCTGCATTGTTTTCATGTGGCTTAGGAAGGTTTTGTGGTGCAGGCCTCGATGAGATACATTCATGGCAGCAAAAAAGTCCGAGAGAGCTGTTGCCCCCTTACCGATGCTGCTGATGGCCTTCATTGCACGCCAATTGACTTCAAAAGGCCTAATCTTGGCCTCACTGTCGCCGGCTACTCTTGGGGACGAAAAACAGTCCTCGCGGAAGTCGCAGTCACTGCACGAGAGCACAAGCTTTGAGCACAGGCCGTAGTCTTTTTTTCCCCTCGAAAAAGTCATGCTTTTCGCGCCACACTCGGGGCACACGACGAGCCCAAACAATGAGTTTATCACGGCTATGTCGACGATTGAGAATTCCGTGCCGTTTTCTTTGCCGTTGTCCTCCAGTTCAACGTCGAGTAGCTTGAACTTTCGTTCCGTCGCGCACTGTGATGCCAAGGTCTCCTTCAAATCCGCCGCATTTCTAGCGCGCTCGGCTGTCTCCTCCGCACTGAAGAACGTCGTGTCGACACGGTCTTGAATATTGCTTGAAGTACCAGGTGACCCGATAATGCGATCACCCGAGAAAATGCTGCAGCTAGGGCCAGGCGAGAGCACCACCGCTGGCACCGCTTCGGCTACAACAGGTAGTTGCGGCAGTGTGCCGTCGTCGGAAAGAACTCCCTCGGCCGCATCAGGAGCTCTTGGCAGCACGATATCGTCGCCTTCCTTCCATTGCGCGTTCCACGCACGGCGTTTTTTCTTGCCGTACGCTTGACGAGTCTTCTTTTTTAGCAGAGGGTCTCCGCTCACACCGGCCATAGCGTTGAAACGAAAGGCAGAACACCACACGCGCGCGCAACAGCAACCGCTGCGGCGGACCGGCGGAGCAAGAAAAAAAAAAAAAACGGCGGGTGGCCTTGGCCGCGCCAGCCAATGGGAAGCGCGAGACAGGGGGCTCGACTTGCAAGCGCGCGCTTTAGCCAATCAGCGGTACGGAAGTGGCTTTCAGAAAAGGGGCGAGAGTTGTCGTTCTGTTGAGGCGACGCCATATTGAGGGGCCGCAAAATGAGCACAAAGAAATCAGCTTCAAAACAAGACCAAGATGGCGGCGATCGGCTCCCTGCTTCGTCGTCGGTGTGCGCGGGAAGTTTGACCAAATATTCCGTGTTGCGGAGCGTTTCGCGACTACCGTGCCGTTTTGAAATGCGATTTTATTATATTTCCCGATCGAATTCAGTGTTGAAACTTTCATGGCAGGTGCTTATTGGTGCAAACATTCGAAAAATGCAGTTTTTTCTCAAAAGCAATTTTTGGTCATTTTTGACCATTCTAAGACCCGCGTCCCCCCTTAAAGTCTACACAGTGGCAGGCCACAGAGAAGATTGAGGAAGGTAACATTTTAGCTTTACACATAAAGCGTAAAAATTCGGCGAAATTGACACTAATTTGTAAGACAAGATTAGACATGTTTCTTTTCAGCAAGCTCCACACGAAGTTGCTGTCAAGGATAGGTTAGAAATAAATATTCTATTTTTGATCAAAACTACCACGTCTCCCTTCAAACAGGAAGTGGCAAAGGAAGGGGGGAAGGGGTATCAGGCCGTGCCGGGACCGCATAATACTATCACACAAACAGCAGGTTTCCACCCCTGATTATAGAGGATTGCAATATATGACTGACAAGTGTTTAAAGCACTGATTAGTGGCATGAGTGGTTTTATGCAGAAGGATCAGATTCAGTGTGAAAAATGTCATAGATTAAATCAAAATTTTAGTCATGATTACAGTTACCATTCCACAGCTGTTAGTAAGAAGCTTCAAAAGAGCAACAATGACACTTGCAACTGCACAGCACTGACATCTCGTCACCAGACATGGTGCCCTTGTGAAATAGATTTTAGTCATTAAATGTGTAATGTTTGCCATTAAAGGGACCTGCTAACACCATTCAAGCCCTCACTTCCTACTTTTGAAGTTCCTTAGACTTAGCTATAATGAAATGCCATTCAAAGGTATTTGGAATAAAAAAAAAACAGCCTACCCCAACCAATTCTCGGCAGGGTCATGTAACTACATTTCTTTTGCCAGTGGCACTGCACAAATGGAATGAGCTTCAAGAGCCTATGCAGGAGAAGCTTGCAAACCACTGTTCTATACAACAGGGTGATGGCGCTATTGCCATAGTGACAAACAATGTGGTGTCTGACCACACACACCCCTCCAACTACAACTAAAAAGGAAAGACCCTCTCCTCTTTAACAGTCATTTTCTGACATGCAATTTGAAATATGCCAAAAATAATTCATAGAATGACTAACAACTGAAACCACCATAATAATCTATTGTTGCCTGATTTGCCTTTGCAGCAGCCTTTGCGGTAGCAGCAGACTCTAGTCATAATGAAATCACGAATGAACAAGCTTATTAAATTGAGGTTCAACTTACATGCTGTTTCATGGACATCAAGTCACCAAAAATAGAGTAAAACCACAATAGTGCAACGTAGCTGACATATCAGTGGTCAGAAGACGACAATTGCTCGATAGCGATGGCAATGAGACTGCCCTGCTTTTGTTTTGCCACTCGCTTGCTTTTGAGCCGCAGACAATTCGAAGCTGAAGCTCAGTTCATGGTTTCCTTCTCGCAGCTGCTGGGTGCAACCCCGGCACGATGCCTTTTCAGATTCTGAGGTTTATCATTATGTTTGCGCTTCGCCACTGTGGTAACTAATCAGAGCGGCTGTTCGTCCGAATTATCAACAAAATCAGCTAGGCACGAGTGGTGAATGATAAGAATGGCATAGAATAATGCAAAAGTCGTCGTTCTGCAATACCCTGCCTCCATCTCGGCGTTGTCCGATACTTTCGACGGTGGACAGCTGCTGGTGTTTTTGTGTTATTGCAACTGTTTGATTCGCTCACGAAAGCAGTATTAGGCATTGTTTCAGCATGCTTTTCACCATGGCCTCGCTATGCATAGGTGAGAATCACGTCGTGACACTGCTGAGAAAGAATAGGAAGCAGCAGACATTTTTTAATTTTGAGAATAAACGTTCCTTTGTTTTGGTAGCTCAGCTCATATATATTTTTTTCGATTTCACAACAATGGAAAGTTTTTCCCCGCCGTGTCAGTTTCGTTGTAGTGGGGTTCGACTGTATCCTAACCTAGTGTCATTAAATAATTCCTTTATTATGCTTTGAGTGTTTCCGTGCCACATCCAAGCCTCACAATGCAAGAGGAGTACTGATTTGATTGATTTGTAGGGTTTAACGTCCCAAAACCACTATTTGATTATGAGAGACGCCGTAGTGGAGGGCTCCAGAAATTTTGATCACCTGGGGTTCTTTAACGTGCACCCAAATCTGAGTACACGGGCCTACAAGATTTCCGCCTCCATCGGAAATGCAGCCGCCACAGCCGGGATTTGATCCCGCGACCTGCGGGTCAGCAGCCGAGTACCTTAGCCACTAGACCACCGTGGCGGGGCCAATGCAAGAGGAGCAATAGAGAGGCTTGCCTTATTGAAGAAACTGTGCTCTCCATGGCTTCATATTCCTTGCACTAAGGTTACTCGTGCACTCTTTCTGGTAGTACGCGGTAGTTCTGCTGAGAACAGACTTGGCAACCAGTGCAGAAATAAGGGGATGCTTACCAACAGCGGGAATACTGCATTCGGCGACTTCCAAATTCACAGTCAGCAAGCGCGGAGTTCTGTTTGATCAGGCTGGTGATGTGCAGCCCAACAAGATGCAATAGAATGCATGCTAGCACGTTTATTCAGGAAGTGATGAAAAGCATTAAAAACTACATTTCACAGCCAAGAACCCTCCTAGGTAAATAACCAAAGGTAATGGTCACTCACTGTCTGTGCCTTCCTGGTAGCACTCGAAGATCGGCAGGGTCACGCCTATAGGAGGGAAAAAACGTGTACACAGGGTCAGTAACAGCCTGACAAAGCCTTTGTTTACCCATTTGCAGGTATATGAATGCAGGAAGTTAACAGAAAACCAGCTCACAAGCAGCCGTGATCATGTACAATCTATACAATGTTGACTGTGCGATACAGGGTTTTTGCCCGATTACAAAGTTGTCGCTCTCAGGTGTAAGCTGTGTCCGTCCTAATGATCGAAATTTCATAACCTTTTAAAACTACCTAATCCTATTAGTGACAACCATGTTGAGAAAATGTACCAGAACGAGGTAACAGATAATAAGTGTAACATAAGCAGATAACACGCAGGAAGAGCAAAATGGAAAAAGAAACGAGAATCCAGGTGCTGCCATGTCGCAGATAAAGTCATGATCTTTTCTGGGTGACAAGCAATATTTTTTTTCTGGTTTTCCAGGAACCTGCGACACCATGGCCAAGAATGGCCCTTCACGACAGCCATGGCGACAGCAAATCTTGTCGTCACTCGAAAATAGCTTGCACGTGACTGGGCCTTAAAGTTTCGTAGTTGCAGGAGGCGACCGTCGCTTGGATTAGGCAGTTTCGTGACCTTGCTCGCTGTGTACTTGCCAGCTGCGATGTCTCTACATTCACACTGTTCATGAACGCCGCTGTGGTGCACAGATAAAAAAAAAAACAAGGCACATGCCACGCAGATGGAAAGAAAAACGACGACAGGGTGCACGACGTTGGGCGAAGGGGTGGAGAGAGCGAGCCAAGGTCGCCGGGGAGGTTGGCATAATAATAAAAAAAGTGGAAGTGGTCCAGAAGACAAGGAGGCACCAGATGTCCGTTAGCGGGATGGCAGTGGATGTATAGAAGGGGTGCATCTATTACGCGGGGAAAAAAAATTCAAATGTTGACGACTGAAGTTGGGGATGTGTTTATTATGCGGGTGCGTTCATTACATGAGTAAACACAGTATAGGCGACCTTTTCTACAGTAAGTTCTCGCGTAGTCAGCAAAGCGGACATCGCATTTTGTCATTATTCTTGTTATCAAGGTTTCGTTTGATGCTTGGATAATCACAATGTTGGTTACTTGATTATAATATAATAACATATTAATTGTTGGAATTTAACATCCCAACATCACTAAGGATTATGAGACACGCCGTAGTGAAGGGCTCTAGAAATTTGAACCAGCTGGGGTTCTTTAACGTGCACCTCAATGTCGACTCACCGGCCTCGAGCATTTTTGCCTCCATCGAAAATGCAGCTGCCGTGGCTGGGATTCGATCCCGCAACCTGCGGGTCAGCAGGCAAGTGCTTTAGCCACTAGACCACCGTGGCGGGTAATGATAGTTATTTGCTACAATGTCAACGGTGTCATCACGGTCATCGTGCAAGGTTGCCGTGAAGTTAGCAAAGCATGCCGTAGCGTCGTAGTGCAGTTAAACCTCGTTGATACATTTTTCAGCGGACCGGGTAGAAAAAACGTAACAGCCGAGAAAATGCACGAGTAAGGAAAGCTCTGAAAATGAGAGCACAGGCGCTTTGACTACAAACAATTTATTTCGGACAAGGTGAGCCTAAGACCCAAAATATTCTAAGATTGTTGACTTCCAATTTTTTTCGCTCGCTGGTAAACACCACGCGTTTCTCAATGACCTGGAAAGCCGCATTGCTTTCAGCGTCGCATTGGTGCGCGACGTACCTGCAGTAGGTGGTCCAGGGTTACGACGGCTTCTCCAAAGTTGAGATCGACCGACTCCACTGCCAATTCTCCAGAATCGTGCGACCCGTGCTTGTTGCCGTTATCGATGTCCCCGTCTTCAGTTGCAATCGAGTTTACAACATTCTCTGTGATTGTCTGGCACTCTGACATCATGACGGCAGCACCCACAGTGACATAGTCGTCGTATGTCGTACCCGTGGCACCCAGCGCATTCATTGCCTCATTGAGCTCTTGCTCACGAGAGGCTGCTTTCGATTGTTGAGCGTCGATGGCAGGGTCCGCTTCGCAGTTCATACAGAACCCACACCTCGTGAACAATGCTCTGCAGTTGACCCACTCACTGCACTCCAGGCTGATTTGACATAATGCAAGGCATTGAGTACCGCAATTGTCGTAGGCTACTGTCGACGATTAATACGTGCAATACAGCACTTTGTGCAATACAGCGCTTTGGCTTGGCGAAAATTGCATTGAGAAGCTCAACAGTATTTAACAAGCTTAGCGCACACAACAGCGACTGGTGGTGGTGGTGGTAGTGGTTAGAAGAGGAAGAAGGCACGTAATTTCTGCAGACCATTTGCCCCGTGTAATAAACGCACCGCCAATTTTGCTCCAATTTTTTTAGATAAAGTGTGCATTACTTACGTGAGTAAATACAGCATTTTATTCAGTGCTCAGCTGCAGATCCAATCCGGCTATTTCATGTTTCCTTGCCTTGGCGTCGAAACTCAGTCATTCCAAATGACAAACTTTGGCAGAAAATGACAGCTATTGTAAAGACCAGAATATAGGCCAAATTTTATTTTAAAAAAAATGCAATGAAAAGTCGACCCTCGTCTTATTCACCAGTAATTGGCAGAAAAAACTGTGGAAGTCTCCCAACAATGGCCAGCTAAAGTCGAAAGCCACCATGGCCATGGTGAGCATCAGCAACGGCACCATTGGGCAAGGCTAGGCAAAGCCTACACCTCGGTTATCTGTCGTCAGTCTGCTATTTTTTTTTTTCCCTCCAGAAATAAGTGGCAGTCGACGGCAGTTTACGATAGGCTTTAAGAAAATAGTTATAGAGTATGATGAAGAGCACAGCAACCTGGCGAAACAAAGGTTTGCTAGGATTCAAAGAATTTTAGCAACCCTTTAAGTCAAGCAGAAAGCGCTTGAGTCAAACAGAAAGGGGTGTTCGTGGTTCTGCGAACAAGTTGCCGAAAAGATGCAGGCCTGCTGACAGCCATCTAAACATGGGTACCGTCCTCCCAACCGGTAAGCGTGGCGCATGTAGTTGTGACGCGGGGCCGCAACGTGCTCAACGAGACGACCAAATTGGTTTCGTCGCGCCAGCCTCCTCTGTACAGATGGCAGTGACAGCATGGATTATTGTCAGCCCCTCAAAATGAGCGTGACGAGTGCGGTTTCTTTGACGCTTCTGCTGGTGCAGCTGTAGTACGAGCGGGGGACACGGCTCCCAGCGGTATTCTCACCCCAAGGAAGAGACAACTTGGTGTCGGAGGGAGAGTGTGGTGGCCATGTTCCCATCAAAAACGTTGACCAGGACGGGCGTGGGCGGTACCGTCGAAAGTAATGTGTTCGGTGGTTGGACAGAGAAGTTTAAAGCCGTTCCCCTTAGGGGGAAAAAGAAAACACTTGATAACCAGCCGCAGCGGGCTCCAGCGGGATCCTCGCGACGTAGAACGACATCTTTATCTAGATGTTCACCTTGTAGCGAGAAATGCTTGCCAGTACATAATGTAAACTAAACCTCCCTACAGTTTCCCTCATCAGTCTCTTAATGCTTGGTGTCTTCCTCCCATGTCCCCCAATGCCGGTAACGCGAAATCCCAACAACTCAACAACAGATAGCAGCAGTGGTATGCTGTCTGATCCCGTGCCACGTCTCAACAACTGGTGGCAGCAGTGAGATCCTGTCAAAACTTCAGACCTTAACAGGGTATTCGGTGCATTGTAGGAAAGCATTCGATACTGGAGAAGCCAAAAGCAGCGCATCACATTATCCAATGATAAAAAGAACAACACTGTTTCTAGATGGACTGCAGTGCACCTTGAACTAGAAATTATACTCGCCGAATTCATCCGGGAACTGCATGCAAGGTCGCTACCCATGACAACAGAGCGCATCCGCGTGAAAGCTCTCGAGATAACGCGCGATTCTGTGATCACAAGGACACAATTCAAGGAATCGCCATCGTGCGCAGATTTATGAAGTGGAAAGGCCTTGCGCTGTGGCAGCGAACTTCGTCTTTCCACAAATGTTGCATCAGTAATGCATTGAACTGAATGGAAGACGATACATTCTGGGACGTTACTAGTGAAAAACTAACGTCATCCGACTCAAGTTCAAACAAGTCTGAGGGACAGTACTTTATGGCCTTCTGGTGCTTGACGACATAAGATTAGTGTCAAAATAAAAAGAAACTTCACCACAGTGCAGCTAGTAGTGTCGCGTATATACTAAGGTAAATACGCGACACAACCAAAATACGTGTGCCGCAATACTTTGCGATATTTAAAAACTTCTTTTTCAGAGATTCAAAGTTTGAGGGGTCTACGTATATTCCCGTCCGACCTATATTCCGGTTCTTACGATACACTCCATGCGGCTGTGATGTCATGAAGTTTATAGCCAGTAACTCTTTAAGGGCTTATTCCTCACAGAAATATTATTTCGTAGACATTTTTCCATAGATGTGAAGGAACAATAGATCCTTTATGTGTATTCCTTGCTGAAAATGATGAATTCTCAGGTGACCATGTCATGGCCCCTTTAATCAAGAAATGTAAATGTAATCACTCATAATGTGGACAGTCACAATGTAGCATGTTTCGAGACTGCCTGGCAAACCAAACACCAAAAGGAATCTAGAAACTTCTCAGCCTGCAAAAACTGGGAGACCCTGCTAGCCAGCTCTGCAACAGACGCCCACGTCACACTGATAGCCCTAGAGGTTGCCTTCAGCACCAACTAATCGCCATCTAATGGGGTCACAGAAACCATCACTCCTAGTACCACTGACTGACTCCAAAGGCAGGATCTGAACTCCAATCCTCCTATACCATTGCTTAGTGCTGTGCCACTGCGCAGTCAGCTCGAGCCATCGCATTGAAATACTTGCAGCGAGTTCAGAATGTCAACGAAGTGTTGTCATGTCGCCATTATGCTGTTATACAGTGGTTCTCAAATAGGGTTCCACTGACCTCCGTGACGGCATAGCTGACTTTGGAGGTTGACAAAACCACATCTCAAAAAAAAAAAAAAAAAACATTCACCTATAATTGCGATATTGCCTGGTGTAAATTCTGAGGGCAGCATTGTGTTGAGGCAAGGGTAACTGTGCTTGAAGCTTTGGTTTTCAAGGTATCAACTACGTCATAAAGTATAACTTTCGTGAGTATAGGACAGCAACAATTACACCATTATTTGTCTTCCTGCAGAAAAGCGAGGTACCTTCTACACGTCTGCGAGGTATTAGTATGAGCACTTTGTTGATGCTACATGTGGCTGATGACGAATATTTATGTGTCTCTTAAAGAGTACCACCTGTGATGTACGTACCTGCAACATTGTCCTTTCGTGAGCGGACCTTGACCTGAGCCCGAGTGACATTTTGCAGAACGACCTGGTTGAAGTCGCCGCTCGTGAACTTGGCCTCGGCTAAGGAGAATGCTGCCTCTTTCATCACCTCACCCATCAGTGACTTTGTCTGCGCGACATCAAAGAGCATCTGAATGCTGCGGTCACTACTCTGGTGGTACACAGAGGTGAAGCTTCCCAGCACCATAGCATTTCAGAGTGACCAGGAAAGTTTCAGGCATCTAGGTAACAACAAATTTGTTCAAAATAATGCTAAATGCCATACCACACTAATCTTTTTATTGCCTTTACAATTGTTTACAAGTGCACTTGGGTTAAATACATATATTTTTTCCAATGGCCTTGATATCACACTTCTTTCCATTGCATCATTTCTATGTGCAGATTTAAGTTAGTTAAATAATTGTTGTAATAGCCAAATTATTTCACATTTGCTTTGCACCTATACTGTTCTAACCTGAATGTGTCAAATGTAATTGCACATGAGCTATCATAGTTAAAACACATTTTTTTTGCCTCTCTTTCTAGAATATTATCTAACATAATGATAAATACATTTTCGTACGTGTTGCTGTAATTTTTTTCTTTTTATCATTTCCACACATAATTAGGCCTGTTCTTTTTGGTAACAGATTACCGACACAATTAAAAATTACATAGCATAGCTTCTTCCACAATGCCCCTAGAAGTCTATGAGGTACTTTTAAATGAATAAACGAAAGTTCGTCTTCAATTATTTCACATGATTATATCCGCTGAGTCATGTTGTTATGCAATAAAAATAGTCTAGACTTCCTGTGTTTCGGCTACAACAGCTTTGAAACAGCTTTTGAAACAAAGACCACAATTTAATTACAAAGACCACGATTTAATTACAAGTCCCACCCAAGTGAAGGACGCCACAACACTTGAGACTATGTGAGGTTTGTTAATGTGTTTAACTTCAATTGTAAATTCAGGTGCACACAAATATAGGTCATTTTGTTACATGTTGTCCTTGTCAAAATGCTGCCATAGTGGACAGAAATGAGTCTTCCTGCTTAGTAACACAACACCGCTAAAGGTCTCATTGTGTAGCGTTTTGTTGTGCAACTAAAAATTCAAAGCTACCATGATTGGTGTGTGGGCAACATTGAAACTGAACGAATTAAATGCTGCAAACTTTATGTGAAGTCATATAAATAGAGCCTGTGCTATACAACAAGTTCAATTTACAATGATGAAAGTGTTTGTTCCGGCAATAACACTACCAGATAAACCTGAAAAAAGCTTCTTGACAACCCAAGCGTGAAATATAGCATACCAACAAACACTTTCAAGATGAAAATTCAACAAGCAAGCTGCACGTGTTCTTAACTGGAAAAAACCCTGTAATGTTCACATTATTTGTGACAATAAACTTGTTTTCCTTTGCATCAAGAAGAAATTTAAGAAAGAATATATGTTATGAAAAACACTGAAATTATAAAATCTTCATGCTGTAGCGAAATTTCTCGGCAGTATACTGACCAGAATTTTAATTTTTTTTAGGCAGGAGTCATCTTCTGCAGCTCGATGCAGGAATAGCACTAGGTTCATTCTTACACCATGCTAGCCATTAGTGTTCCCAGACTATCAGCTGTTGGAACCCATGCACTGAATTGAAATGTGGAGTTCAACGTCCCCAAATTACGAAATGATTATGAGAGACATCGTAGTGGAGTGCTCCGGAAATTTCAACCACCTTGGGTTCTTGAACATGCCCCCATATCTTAGCACAAGGGCCTACAGCATTTTGCCTCCATCGGAAATGCAGCCGCCGCAGCCGGGATTCGATACCGCGACCTGCGGCTCGGCAGCCGAGTACCTTAGCCACTAGACCATTCCGGCGAACTGTGGGATCCTCTCGTCCCTAGAGTTTGTGCTACTTAGCCGTTCAATGGAGTAACAACTAGCTCAAACAAGCACTTTACACCACAAGGCTTTTCAGACCTACCACAAGCAAGAATTTCCTCAGACAAAGAAAACACATTAGAAATTTCACATGGTTCTCCCTGAATGTTTTGAAAAATGACAGACCGCTGGAAATTACAAGTGCTCCCACACAGTAGACGCGCCCTGACGAATAAACTGTTGATGAATACTCCCAATCTCGAAATATTCAGCACAAAGTGCTGGACACCCTTTTTTGTAAAAAAGCTCAGACGAAGAATGTACACAGTCGTCCTTCATGAAAGGGAACGCACAAGTGCATGGCCTGTGCTCTGTGGCGGCTGCCTAGAGGCACCATCAACGGACAGTTAAAAAAAGCATATTCACTTGTCGCAGCATCTATTGCCAAACAGGATAGTGAGACGTGGTCGGCAGATAAGCACTGCTAAGTAACGTTCCTTCACCAATCCCGCAACAAGTGACATTGGGCGATGCCTGCCACTTGCGCCGTGCACGTCCATCACGTTTTATTTGTTGGCAGCAGACAACGCACAGCAGGCATAGCCCTTTGCACAATCTTGGAGGGGGTGTGATCAGGCAGCATTTCTCTACCAGCCATGTCTCGTAATCGTGTTTGGCAATAGATGGCTTGCACTGACGTCACTAAAACAGCCACTTTAATGCACCAACACGGTGAAACATGAATTTCGTGATGTCATGTTAGTGTAATCGGTGCATCGCATACTGGTTCCTTCGTTACTCCATGCAAAAAGCCCAATGACGTTCCAGCAACGTTACCACACTAAAGCAAATTTATAGCCATGTGATTTTACGGCCTTGACGACACCGAAGCTGCCATGTTGGTGCTATGTCGCGCATCCATGACGTCACCTGCAAACTGTCTGTAGATGGCATTCAAAAGCCAACATGCTTTGTTCAGCCGTCGGTTGACAATGCTTTAGGCAGCCCCTGCAAAGCACAGGTCGTGTGCTCATGTGTTCTTCGTCATTAAATAACGACACTGTACCTTTGTGCGTAATGCAGTCAGCTGAAATATTCACGGAAAAATGAAGTGCCTGTTCGTTGTGCAAACAGTTACGGTGAATTTCCACATTGACTATTTTAATTATTCCTTTGCCAGTCTTTTGTTCAGGGGACGGCAGGCCCCCCCATAAAGTTTCAACCAAAGAGATCGTCTCAACCAAAGAGATTATCTGTAGCAATAGTCTGCAAACGGCAGGTTCACTTAACGCAAACTGGGCACAAGGAAGATCCAATGAACTTGCGAGCTCATTAACTTGCTTTGTCATGTTTATTAATCATCAGTGGCCACAAATGCCACGAAACAATACGGGAGCAAAATGTGCGAGTACGAACTACGATGACCTTAATAACACAAAAAAAAAGTGGCGCTTCGCCAACACTACCTATGTGGCGTGCGAATATTCTGCGCTGAAAAGCTCATCTGGCTGAAAAGATGCTCTAAAAGCAAAATGTAAAAGAGATGGACACTTTGAGCACTAACGACACCGGCGCAACAAAACCTAAACCACGTTCAGTCAGTTTCATAGCGCCCCTACAGCGATAAAGCAACCGAGTTTTTGCAAAGTTTAGAATGATTTACATGCAATAAAACAGCATTCGCAATCCCGCACCAGGTCAGAAGCAGCAAGGTCGTAAAACAGCAGCTGTTTAAGCGTCTGTACGCACCTCCACGATTTTCTTCAGTATCGCCCTGAACCGCATCTGCAGAGCGTCGGCTTTCTTTTTCAGCAAGTTGTGGCCCTTCTGGGCACCCTTGAGACGTAACCTCATGAGGGTCATGGCCCTGTAACGAGTCAAAAGGAACAAAATTCGGTTCTTGCAACCAAAGAAACGCCGTTCACCACCGCTAAACACCTGTGTGTTGTCAAACTGAAAAAGGCTGGAACGGACCGACGGTGCCGAAGACGTCGCTTCGCAGCGAATTGCGGAAAAGCAAGATAATTTTACTCACATGCGAGAAGGGAAGATGGCTATCCTGTCCTTGCCGCTCATAGCTTTCAGCTAATAAGGTACGGAACAACAATGAATTTGAACAACAAGCTAATCCCGGAGAACGGTCCCACCTCTGCTGGGTACGGCGATCATGCGCTTCTTCCTCGCAGCTCGCGACGTCACGTGATTGTCCGCAGCGCCAATGCGCAGCTGAACTGTGTTTCGGTTTTGGTTCTGACGCATGCGTTTTTGCGTAAATTGATCACATCTTTGTATTTCATTTCGTTATTGAAACTACACCCAAATTTATTAATAATAACGACACCTTAGACACGAATATACAGCTGTGTCACCTATTTTTATGCGAATTTGTTTAGGATGCTATTTATTTGAAGTACCTGCGCTCGGCAATCATGTGTCCCTTGAGCAAGTTAACTGGTAAATTGCCCGACTCTTGAAAAGTTTTTGAATACACATTATATATTTTGACACATGAGCCGAGCCAAGTCCCCGAAAACGTCATTGCGCATTGTAGTATTTGTAGATTTACAGTGTCTAGAAATATACTAATTCTAAACACTGTAGTAGTCTTGTAGATTGTAGAGGTGTGCGCCGAGACGTCGGCGCGCTGCCGCCGATGCTAACTGATCGGCGCGCCGCCACTGCCGCCGCCGACGTGGTTTTCTCTCGGCGCCATCGGCGTACCATCTAAGTACGATGAAATTTTTCTTCAGCAAACATGCCTTTTCTGCACCTTTGTCTTCGGTATATACTCGGTTCTTTCTTAATTCTGCCCACTAGGCAAACGCATCGGATTTGATTCGCCTGCCACTAGGTAAAGAGGCCCTGAAACACTTTTGAAACAAAAAAAAAAAAATACGTCACTTTACTTTTTTACAAGCTGTTTTGAGAACACTTTTTGGGTCATGCGCAGTTGCATGTTTGTCCATAGCCGCCGCTGTCCGTAACCACATACCGCGAAATTAGAATAAAAACCTTGCACCGATGACACAGGGGCTTTAACCAGGGTCCGCTGGGTACCAGCTAAATATTCTACCACTTAGTTACGCCGGTGCTTGTATCTTGTCATACTTTCCTTAGGCAGGCATGACCTAGCACCAACTGCACAGGGCGGCTCGAACCCAGGTCAACTGGGCGCGAGCCCAGTATTCTACCGCTGAGCTACGCCGGTGCCTATTAGTTGTTCTCAAAGTTGCCTTAGGCAGGCCTGATGTCAGGAAAGCAATCGCAATAATACGACTTATAAAGCATTTTACAACAGCGAAAGAACAACCAGTCGTCGCACAAAGAGAATAGCGTAAGGAATGGGCCGTCCAATGCTTTAACCTACTGCAAAATCTTGTTCTTGTTTCACTATTAACTGTAGCGCATAACCATTTCAGTCATAATTCCTCATCGTCATCAGCCACTGCATGGACAATTGGCTTAAGATTCCTAGCAAGTAGTCAGCGGATGCCACGCTTCTCAGAAGAATGACGAAAAGTAGCATAGTGAATGCCAGCCTACTTCACAAAAGTTTAATATTAGTGCCCTAGTGCGTACCAAGCAAGTGTGCTTGCAGTGGTTACCCAATGAGTGTTTTGAAAAGGCTCTGAAAGGCCGCTCTTCCAGCTTTCGCTCTGCCTGTGCTGCGCCTACCGCGCAGGCCTGGTGTTTTATTTTTTCTTCGAATACGCGGATTTTTCAGTGTGATAGCGCGTGCACGTGTGAACAAGTCGCGGCCTCCTATGGTGATCCCTGTAACGACTGAGCGCGCCATGTTCAAATCAGCCAATGACTGATAGATGGCCTTCAGCTAGTGATATTTGAGCGTCTTCCGTCATTTGTTGAGAGAAGAGAAAGCAATTTCTAGCTGATTTTGATAATTGATTGTGAATTCTAGACCCTGCGCTGTGCTATATTATTTTGCTCGCGTGTTCTCGGAAGTACCAATCAGCAACGTTTTCTGAACATGCCCAAAAAGTGTTGCAGGGCCGGTTTAAATAACTGGACGAGCAAAACTTGTTTAGTGCTTCAAATAATCTATAAAGGTAGTGTTGTATTAAATTAAAACGTAACTTAAGCTACGTTCGAGTTCATTGTCAGCCAGTACTGGTGTTTACTGAGGATTGTAGCTGGCGATCGTAGTTTACTGAGGATTGTAGCTGAGCATTCTGGCTGACGAGTCTACTCCCTTCAGGAGCACTTTCAAGTGTAATAAAGTATGTGACGAGTCAGTACTGCAATAACAATAAATATGACTGTGAAAGCGAGTCGAGGAACAACGGAAGTTCAAAAGGGAAAGACAGGGTCAACTGTGTTTAAGATACATTTATACTTCGAAAAAAGTCTACATACACAGAACTACGCACAGATGTAGTACGTGCACAGGGATAACTGTTGTAGAAGAACTTGCCTGTTTGGTGCGTATGGATGCTCAGCAGTCTAAATGACGAAAAGCCAGCTATAAATGACATATATATTTAAAGAAATTAAGCTTTTAAAACTATAAAAACATGGCCTTTATTGAAGAACGAAAGAAAAAAAAAGAATAATTGACCAAACGCTCTGTAAAACAAAACGATCCCTTATGAGTTAGCAAGTTCAGCGAAGTCGAAAACGGTACAATATGGTGCACTTCATCACCATGACGTTAGTGCGAAGTAACGCACAGGACATGGTGGTGGACAACGCTACAACGTGGGTGTATTATGTTTCGTACCCTCCGCTTTGCCCTGCACTTCGTGCGAATATATGCTTCGCGTCAGTCGCCAGGCTATCAAACCGAGAAATTATCACATTTCCTTCGCCCATATTCTACTCGACTAATGAGACTTATATACCGATTTGTCACTACCGTGTTTGAAACAGGAAATCAGTAACGTAGTATGTGAGGGAGTTGGTTCATAAAATTCGGAAGAAAAAACCGGTGAAAGACACTAAGGGAGCGAAGGAGAACGGCATGACCATAGTGTCGGCTAAGTATTTATTTCAGAAAGCCCCCACACACATTAACCAAAAGCGCATGCACAAAAAGGCTATCTGAGGCATTGCACAGTTCCACACCTAACACTACAAAGCCAGCGTGTCAAGGCGTTAGAAACAGCACATTTAGCACCAAAATATCGACGCCACGTGCGCCCGCCATCTAGCAACACAAATTCTTTATCCGTAAGAAAAACAGAAGAAAAGCGGGGACCGATTCTTGTATCTGCGAGGAAAACTCAGGGTTCACTGACACATGACAATTTGCCCTGGGTTGTTTTATATTGAAGGCACAGAAATTTCGCGCTCAATCTCACTTCTTCCTTTGCCAATGACACTCACTGATTTGTAATAAAAGGGGCCCGCACAGAGGTACGTTTGCACCAGTGTTTGTCGGGAGTATATTGATTGTGGTGTTCATGCAGCTTCGTCAAAGCATCGGCCCACCTGACTGCTGTCGACATGGCCACACAAGAGAATATCGAAACGTACGCTCGCTGCAAAAGATGCGACCGCACCCTTGGCTGATATAAAATCAGTGAGTACCATAGAAAAAGAAGTAAGAGTGGACGTGAAACTTAATTGTGAAGCCTTCAAAAGAAACTAAAAACCAGGCCAAGTGTCATGTGTGAGTGAAAACCGAGTTTTCCTCAATGATCCGCGTCTCTACATAACGGCTGCACGGGGCGTCGACGGAAACGGGCTATTACTATCCCCAGGACAAGTTTCTTGACTGCGTTTTTGTACTATTAGTTGTGTACTGAGATATAGCTCAGACAGCCTATTTACGCAGGCACTGATGGTTCATGGGTGTCGGGGCTTTCTTTAATAATAAACGTATAGTTCTTGTTTCTTCACTCTCTCCGTGTTTTTCGCTGCTTTCTTCTGAAGTAGATCACTGAGATCCTCACGATTATCGTCATGCGGACCTGACAACTCCTCAAACCCCCTTCCTTTTCTTCCGATAGTTTCCCATCATGTATATTAACGAATAATCATTAACGCCCGAAGTGGACGAGAAGTGTTGGACCATTTGCTCACAAAATATGGAGACTGATCATCCTCGTTTCTGCTTGTTTTAAGAAAAAGCAGCAAGATATCTTGGATTTCGAATACGTCAAGCCACATTTTCTTGTACCTAGAAAACAAGCTTTATAAAAGATAGTGTTTTAACCGCTGTACGACTTTTTGAGGAAATCTCTCACGGATAACATGGCCGCCGCCTCACCCAATCAGGTTGATTGTAAAACATGAGACTTTTTTTTTGTCCTGCAGTGGGCGTAGGCTTTACCGGCGCCGAACTTTAGAATTTTTGTGAAAATGTGTGAAATAATCTCGCGTACGTGTGCTTGCCCTTTGTTACTGTGTCCACTTTCCAACCTTCGCTATGCTCCAAGACAAGCCATAGAGATGAAGCCATAAGCCCGAAGTCTCGTATTTTGAACTCGATATCGTTAACGACCTCGGTTCACAGAAATTACGGTGTCCGCGTCATAGGTTGTGAGTAAAGGATCATAGCCCTTGTCCATGGCCGAAATATCGAGATAGATGTCAGAAATGAAACAGTGAAAATTTCGTCTCCGAATGAGAGTCGAACACAGGTCGATTGCATGGCAAGCAGTTTTTCTATACCACACAGTCACGCGTCTGCTTGGAAGTGCAATAAAAAATTCCTATGCTTGGAAATGCAATCGAAATAATGTCCCTCCATACAAACGCACACACACACCGTCTGCAGGTTTAACAGTACAATATAAAATATCGCAGTAATATTACGTGCTACAAGCGTCTGTTGGCATTGGGCGTGCAAAAAATATGCGATTCTCATAAAGGCTTTCTGGTTTAAAGCCAGCCATCTATTAAAAACGCACACACTGCATAGCAAGTTCGAAAATACCTCACGCGAAATTATATCATGTGTGGTTCAATGCATGCTAGCCATTGTGAAGAATGCAGTCATATGCGAAAGCTTCACTGACACAAGCCACTTCATCGATTACAGAGCAGAAGTCCACAATTAAAACTTGTAGAGTAACATGATACGATAAAACGTATGTGCTAAGTTGTTGAAGTACGCACAACAGGGACAGGATATCGCTATCGTGTTCTGCTCATGCGTAAAAGTGAAGCCTGGGATTCCCGAACTTTTTAGATGCGAAGCTGCTCATGGCCGAGTTCAATCCGGTG